GAAGAGCTTTTGCTTAAGCGTACAGAGCTCTCCGAGGCAAGAGAAAGTGAGGGGAAAAGTTGGACTCAGGCGCAGGAACTGAGGGAGGAAAACGATTCCTTGAAGGAGAAGATCGTGGAGTTACACAAACACAGTGGCTCCAAAGATTCTAAAATGCAATCGGATACCAGGAAGGCTAGTGTCCCTAAGAGCACGACCAAGCCCCGGGCAGCCTCTGCTGCGTCTCCTCAACTTGAAAAACCCCCATCTTCTGGATCGCCGCACCACAGGAGGAGAAGAAGCAAGAGGCATTCTGGAGGAGCTGATAATGATGCATTAAATTCTCTTGGAGCCATTGCCGCCTTAGCTGGAGCATTGGCGGCTTTGGATCCCGCGGGTGAATTTACAGACCAAAGGGCCGAATCGATCCGCCATCAGATTGCAGTATTACAGGCACGTGAGGCATTACGTCTGTGCCGAATAGAAGCTGCAGCAAAGGCAGCTAATCCGCAGGATATAACGGACCGAGACGCAGAAATAGCAAGGCTGAATGCGTTAATCGCAGCGGGAGGAGGAGGGGGGGATGCAGATAGCGCAAATCTCAGACTCAGACTCAGGGAGGCACAAAGGCGACTCGACGGATTCAAACAGTTTCCTGAGGACATAAGTCTAAACATTGCTCAGATTACAGATGCAGCCATCGTTACAGAATGGAATGAGATTTATGCAAATATCATGACTGTTTGCGCAATCAACTACTCTGCACGTCCTGGTTTTGTGAATTTCGACTATGATGCTAGTGATGCTGCCGGCGAGCTCACTTCAATATATTTGCGGGATGTTACTCTCCGCCAGAGAACTTGCAGTCAGAGAATTAATATAGCCCGAAAGGCCGGTTTATATGATTATAGGACGCAAGTGTCGGCCGCAATTTTCTACAGGATACTTATTGATGAGATTTTCAACCCGATACACTACATGTTAACACTACGTTTCCAGGATCCGTCACAGCGGTGGAAGCATAAGAAACAATTGAAATTTGCATATGAAGCGAACGACTTTTTCAGAAATCAAACACAGGGTTGGTTTCAAGAGAGGTCGTCTTGGTCTCTACGAAAAGAAGAGGCTTTAGCAGAAAGAATGGAACAGACGGAGCCACCGGGTTTCCGTAAAAGGATTCGCCCAAATTTCAACTATTTTAGAAAAATTGAAAATACAAACCTCGCGGACAATGGTGGTAAGCAAACGAGTCGATTCCTCTGCATTTCGCCCATCTTCTTACGCTTAATCTTTTGCTAATCGATATTAGATATCCGGTCTGTACTTGTACTGAGGGCGAAATTAATGCACGCTATCTTCTCTGCCAGCGAAGACAGCCTGGGTGACAAGAGTAAAGAGTTGCGTGATTGCGTCTCGGCACTCATTCGAGATACGCTTCGCCCATTCCGCCTCCCGCCTGCGCCGGTCCCAGCTGATGGATTAGCGGTTGATGGGTTAGCAGCTGATGGATTAGCAAACCCCCTCACAAATGGTGGACTCAAATTTGCAATTTGGAACATTATCAAAAGATCATATTTACTTGCCTTGAATATATCCTTTCAGCCAACCGTAATATTTGCACATAACGATGAGCTACTATCAATGATGTATTTCGATGCAACGATCATGGAAGACAACGACGCGACAGACGGTCTAACACCTGCGCAACTAGCTGCGCACCATGCTGCCACTGAGACCATTTCTAGAGGGCTTCCCAGGATGGAGACAACACGAAAGGTCGATGTGGTTGTTCGCCCGACTTTATCGAAGAAAGGGATCCAGACGGATGGTGCACAGTTCGACGTCAGAGGGTGGACAACCCTCTGCCCCGCATCAGTTGTTTTGGGTAAGCTAGCGATAATATCCCACTATTCTATTATCACGTATAATCTACTAACCTAGTGTTACAGCACCGATTATAACTGCAGCATATGTACCTTATGATGTACCTGATGCTGTAGCTGAGGCTGAGGCTGATGCTGCTGCCGATGATGCTGATGCTGATGCTGATGCTGGCGCCGGTGGTTAGTACAAGCAGTACTTTTTTTAATTGGGGGGGGTGCCACCATCGAACATTTTAAGGGTGAGGGTTGGCTTTCCGTGCTTCCCTCTTTTTATTTTCATCGTTATTTGCTGAAAGTAACGAGATTCCTGTTTATCTATTCACTACCGAAGGGTTTTCTTACTCCATATCGTACAGGAAGGTTGTAGAGATGAACGTAATAAAGTGTCATCCTAGGAGATATACATGTATACGTAGTTGCATATACCAATTCCTAAGGCTTTTTTCTTTCTGTTTTTGTTCTATATAACTCGTGTATAACTGCTGTTCGTGTTCGTTCTTTTTATCTGCATCAATTTTGAGGATATCCAGATCTCTGTTCAAAGGCGAGGGTCGTGTACGTTAACGGATATATGTATACGTGAATTTTAACTTATTCGGCTATGATAGCTGCACCTGGTGAAACAATGTGGTCATGATTGTGATATTTGGTATTCCAAAGATATGTTCTGTCCCAGTCACGAGTATATCACATTGGCCAACAGCTGTTGGCAAGTATTGCCTATTGACAAATACTTCCTGAGATTTGACAAACTGTCACAGATCTTCTGTCTGGTTGGTAAATGCCTGCCAGAATTTGACCAAACTCGACTAACTAAATCCTAAAAGCCATCGCCTAACAACTAAGAAACCCAAAGAACACATCCTACCTTCCTACACACATGCCCTTGCCCCGATATCCCATTGTTCTGGGGGCCACGATGTAGCTACATAATTATTAATGCAAACACATATTTCCTTAACAAATAGGCAATTACTTATGTAACTATGGCCAACGGCTTTCCTCTGGAAAAGCCGAGAATTATATAGCGCCAAAATGGCTTCTAAGTGAAAAATAAGAGCACATTCACCAATTATGGTCCATTGGCCAATAATGAGCGTTTGCGACTGGGATGGAACAGATACATGTAATTAAGTAATGGGGTATTACCAAACTCGAACAATCGCATAATTTTGGGCAACAAAAAAAAAGACCTCTCACTAATATCTACGTTTGATTGACTTCAAAGCCAATGGCATTTTTATAAGCTTTCTTTTTGAGCACTCATAATTTCTCAAGACGTGGTCAATAACCCCCAATATCCGTAGGTGAAAATGACCATAAAGACAAGCAAGTACCTATTCCCCTATGCTTTAAATATGACGGCGGATAATGCTGTGCCATGATACGGGCACATATGTGTATGAAGTAGGAGATGTCTCTTTCATTATTCTATCGTACAGACTCAAATACGTGTATGGAGTACCAGAATACGTGCCGTAGAATTGACCATTGCAGTTAATGAATTAAACAAAAGAAAAGAAAAAGTAGTATTGATCATGAATTATCACTCGGTATGTATGAAAAAAAATGCATCGACTTACGCCAGCTGTTTACCTTTCACTCTATATGCCCGTGAGGACGGAAAGCTTCGGATAAACAGCTGGGTCTTACGCCCTTACCTCCAGAGGAATAAATTCATGGTACAGTAAGTCGGACAACCCTCTTCCTTAGTTAGTAAAGCGTTTATCTAGTCTGTGTGGATAATATGACGTACCTGTGAGGCCCTCAATTATATATCGTAATGTCTATAGCCCGTAATTGAACTCAAGACATCCCGACATATGTCAGATGTTTATACCACTACACTAGTGTAGCGATAGCTATACGCTTAAAATCCGGAAGTTCCTATTAAGGCAAATACACTTTAATTCACAAAGTTTCTTTTAAATTTTCTATTGAGAAAATTCGGGCACCCGCACCCACAACAACGATAGGATTCTATAACCAAAAGATACAATACATGTACACATACGTTATACACAATACCCCAGTTTGCTGGATAAGTACGCCAGTACAGTATGTACAAGTAGTCGGATTATATTCGCAACATGAGCTATCACTCGGTTACTCAGCGACCGTGATCCAGTCTTGGCACATCAACCATCACTAGCCGCCACGTGCTAGTGCAGATGACACAACCCGTAATCCGTCCGATCCGGTGCACGGTGCTTTAAGGAGCGATTATACACAGTACATAAATATCACAGCCTCACGAATAAGAATACGAGTGAAGATCTCATGACGGTTTAAACCCAAAAAGAGAGTTGGGGTACTATGAATCATCCCTCATGGTCGTGACTCAACTAACCTATGCTAGAGGAAAACCTTAATTCTAGCAAGCTTTGGGTTTTAGATCAAACCGGGCACGAGACTAGTACATACTAGTAGGCGGCTAACGCCTTGGAACTAAGATCTAGGCAGCTCCGCAAGTGTTGGGTTTTCATTAATGTCATGTATCTAGATTATATACATACATGTATATACCTTTACGTGTATGTACTATGGCTGTGGAATATTAGCGACAACTGTATTACTTAGCGAGTAGATGTTGGGTTAGGTATGTTTACATACTTGTGTCGAATATATCTGGATTGCCCGTAAAACATTGCCAAGCTAGCTGCCTAGCAACTGACTTCCAAGGCTGACCAAAACAAATATTTTAACTGCAAGATTGAATGGTATATGTAGCTATGGCGGACCGGAGATGGGACGTTCGTCTAGATTTGGTGCTAACATCTACACGTACACCCGGGCTTGTTACAGAGAGCTGCTAAGCTGCTACTAATCGTACTTTTATATATAAAAAGAAAAATATTCAGCTTGGCTTTTGAATCACTTTTATATAGGGGATACAGCATATGCAATATCGTATCTCTAATTATCACTCGGTCCACTCGACACCTACACGACAGACCACAACAACACAGCGGCACAATTTTGTATTTAACTTTACTATCACAAAATCTCACTCGAGGTTCCTACACGGCATATGCCATGTATCCACCCCACCAGCCACCCGCGCGCCCCTCTCCCTACAAATCTCCTCAATCAATTGCAGATCCTCCCCGAGCCCGCCATAGCTGCCCATCACAAACACTAAACAGCACTCAGAGTACAGTTCTGGTACACCGGGGTGCTCCCGCACTCGCTCGAACAGAGCTTTACATGGTCATTGTAGCAGTAGCAGCTCTGCGGCCAGACCTGAATACATGCCCACTGGCCCATGCACTTGTTGTAGCACTCGACAACCTCCGGCTTATCGCAAGCATCAAGAACGGGAACGACTAGGTCGCGGGGGCAGGCCTCGGCGCACTTTTTCTTGTAGTCGTTGAGGCAGTAGCAGCTCTCGGGGTAGGTGTCGGGGCACTGGGCGGAGGCGACGCATTTGTCGTAGCAGGTGACCTCCTCCTGGGGGAGGGCGATAGTGGACACGAGAGGGAGGAGGAGGAGGAGGGCCGGGAGGATGGAGAATGTGAACTGCATTTTGGCTGGGGAGTGTTAGTGCCGATTCTGGTGCGGAGAGGGAAGTTGTGCTATAGTTATAGCTGGTGGGAATGGGTTTCTTACCTATGTTTGCGGAGAGAAGATCTAGCTGGTGATTATCAGAGTAATTGTCGGACTGTTGCTGAGTGCAAGTCTGTCTGTCTCGATTGCTGGATGGAGAAGAAAGAAAAAAGACTTCATCATATCCATACAGCCCAGTATTTATACAACTTTCTCCACTCTCCAATTACGATAATTCAGCCCATCTTGACACCTCTCCCCACCTCGCCGTTCAACTTGCGCCGGAAGGCTTCATCATGAATTCCGATCAACTTGCTGCACATTCGCCAAAAGAAACCTTATACAGCAGTCTTGAGTTAATTGTCGTTTTCCTGTTGTCGTTTGGATAAAAGACAGTTCTCCAAGACTTTGAGATGCCACAGCATATGCATACTACACCCATCCATGGCTACCAGCGAGATCGCGTGAGACAGCGTAGGGCGAAATTTTTTTATATCGTTTTCAAAAAGGGTCCCCCTCACACCATAAAGAAGAATGTCCCTCTTTCGCTTTGGTTGATCTGGAGGGTGGACGCTTTATCCGTCGTTCCGTGTGATTTTTGGTTTTTAATCGTATGCGGTGAAGATTATAATATTATATTCACGGCCGTAATAATAAGCCTGAGTGTTGTGCATGTCCGGCCGACCAATTATCGCCGCGGGTGTGTTCTTGGACAGTATGTAGGGACAGAGCTCGAGCAGCTATGTACAGAGATCATGTTCTCCTCCGTTCTATGCCACACTGCAATTGTGCAACCTTAAGTTCCATCTAGGCATCCCGTTAGTTGATACCGACATTCCAAGTGAAATAGAGTATAGCTACATACACCACAGCTTAAAGGTCACCAATCGTAGCAGCCTAGCTATGAGTCTAACTGGATCGGAAAGGAAAATCAGACATGTTGTACTGCGTTTATGTGGATTCGCTTCTCTTGTACAACAACAGACACAATACGAGTTAGCCCCCAGGGTCGGGAGTGGATGGGTCCAATTAAGATGCCGAAGTATGTTCGGCCTGTCCGGAGGAGGGGGGGAGGGGGGGATCGAGGGTGGTGCAGAGAGGTTCAGTGATCTTTTGAAAGTTCACAATGGTAGAGGAACATGTTTCTTTCTTATATGGTCTCTACGAGAGCACATGTATCGCGAGTACGTAATGGGTATCATCGATTGTGCAATCAATTAGGTAGTTAAGTGTGTAGCTATCCGCCTTGCCAGTGAGTATACTTATACACTGATTGAGAAGTTGTTCCGTACCTCGACCTCGAATCCGGCAGGTCTCTATGTCAGTGCTGCACCATAGACCTCTTCCTCTTCTTCTTCTTTCCCCCTTCCTCTGCCCCTAGCTCCCTCTTCCCCTTCATCAGCATGCAGAATAAACAGCCCGGCAAATACAAGTCCACGGAAAATAAAAACGTGGACCGGAATGCCGGTGGAGCATGGATTATTCTAAGACTACTCTATTTAGCAGGCACCAGGCAGGTAACACAGCACGTGCACCCGGCAATTAGAAATTTTCTTCACCTTTGATCTTAACGTTGTGTTTGGGCTGACGGATATCCCGCGCGGTTTGCCTTTCCAGTTGGGCTAGAAGGGCGATCAAAGTACGGTCGGTACCTGGTGATACATAACAGAGTCCCGTCCACAACCTCTTTCATTACATTTGTTACTTAATTACGTGGATTGTTAAAGGTGTAACCGATGCACATACTGGACACTTCATATCTGTTAATTGAACGAGAGAAGACAGACTGTACAAATGTATGGGAAGGGATAAAAGAAGTCTACAAGGAAGTGAGCAAGCAGTACTCTATTCAACTGAAGTCATCTCGGAGGCCGTTGGGCACGGGGCAGCCAAAGAAAGCGAAACCGTTGGGTTATTACATGTATTGTTGACCTCCTAGCTGCCGACAAGCTGCACACCCGCCACCGCTCGGGTTAAGTCCATAGCCGACGACACTGAGGCTTGACTGATGTACCTACATAGGTACTCTACTTTACATGCCCTTGGTGCGCCTACTACTAGCTCTATATCAGCACGCGCGGTGAGGCATTTTTATTGGCGTAGTCGTTACTCCGGATCTAGAAGTGCGGCGATTTAACCTAGGCCTGTATACCTGTGTCTATGCCTACATACAACCATGGTAAACACCCACGCGGCTCTGAGTTTCTACTCGATCTCCTCTTTTATAATTACTAGAATTACGGCATCGAAATCAGAAAGGGATTTTTTGTTTCGCAATTGGGGTCCTGGGGCCTGGTGGTGAGTTTTCGAATTTTTTTTCTCTTTCTTTTCGGCTAAACGCAAGGCTTTAGGCGTGAGTTGAGAGAAGTGTTTTAATGACCACTGTGCTGGGAATTGGGGATGGTGGATGGGTTTCCTCTTTCGTGGCTGACTGGCTATCGATCGTGTTTGAGAAGAAGCTGAAGAGCAGCGTAGAGCAAGTAGAACAGAGGTAATATCTGACATCTATGTAGGTACTTTGCACACGTCGTCGATGCCATGTATCCAAATTACCATCTAACACAAACGCACTCATCGTACTCTACACGCCTAAGCATGCAAGGGCCCTTCCCGATCCCTTCTCCTTCTTTCCTCCTTCTTCTCGAGCATCCTATCACATCCGCTTTCAGCATCCCGAAATCGCGGCAGACAACGAGATCTAGACGCCGCCACCATGTGCACTCCTTCCCCTAATTCCCCGCGCATGCGTCTGATATCACTAACTACCCGCAATACTAGCATCACCAACGATCACTCGGTGTCTCCCTCCGGTCCCCCACACACACAAATAAACACAGACGCAAACATTCTCTTTGCCCACCCCACGCAGGAAATGAAGGCGTATAGCCGCTGACTGCGGTCAGGATGCCTGAGCGCATGCCCACGGTGGGCATGTACGTGTATCGCGTTTAAGCGGTGGCGGTGGGCAGTAGCAGCTCAATTAAACACCTATGAAGTAACATATGGCGTTTCTTTTTCCTGCGTGTTGTACGGATCCCAATCCTTTCCTTCTCTCCTCGAGAGGCCAAGTGGGCGGGCGTATTTATCAGTTACGCATAACCAATTACCCAACCCAAGCTTGAAGGTTGGCTATCACAACATTTCTTTTTTTGTCGAGAAAAAATTTGTGGAGAGTTTAGACCAGCGCCACCTATCCCAAAGATTTTCAAATATTGTTTCATGAGCTCATGCCCCATGGATGGGGACCTGGATAGACCCTATGTAGAGAAGGGCCGGGTCGTACTCATACACATCGCCACGACCGCACCCACGGGGCCGGGAGGAACGAGAAGGAAGAAAACACACACACGAGAAAAGGGAAAAGGGTTCCATCTCGGCGAGCTGCGAATTAGGGTTCGGGCGTGCGCGCGGATACTACTTATTTTTACAATATGGTCCACAGCGTGACCTTTGGGCTTGACTAGCTAGCTAATTACATGAAGGGAGAGGGTCAATTCTTCAAAAGATTTGGGATGAGAAATGGATATGTGCTAAGAAGAAACAATCCAGAAGGATTCCATGACTACGAGAATGCATTGCGCTATGGCTCCTCCTCAAAACTCCTCCACGCCTAGGCTCGCACATGTCCCACCGTCATTATCACTAAGTACTCACTGCCCAGCGAGCGGGCGGGCGGGCGGGAGCAGCCGCTCGCGTGAAAGTTGTTAGCATCACACAACACAAATACAAACACGCGGTTCCTACATATCTACTTGCAGAACATTTACATTACTCTACCTAAGATACAGCCACCGGCCGAATGAGTTGTCTGACCACATCCCAATGGTGCTGCGGGAAAGGCACCATCCATTTTCCTTCCCTTCCCGCGCAAGTGAGCATACCTTCCACCCCCCGATCAATGTCATCACTTTTCGCGGCTGTTCGATTTGCATGCGTTGGATGGAACATCCATCGGCTGTTTAGTTAGGGGGTGGTGGGAGATGACTGCGGAAAGGTCCGTTGTCGCTGTTTAGTTTTGCTTCTTGCAAAGATGGGTGATGTGAGTGATGTAGCATGAAGTGAGTGAGTGCTATGAACTGTACCTACAGCACACAACTCAACTCGCACTCAAGGCCGATACTCACTCTGTCCCGAGAAACGGATATCGTGTCCCGTACTCCGGCCCGGCCGGTGTGATCGATGAGGGAGAAAGAAAGAAAAAACTTAAACTCCCATTCGTCCACCTCGACGAGGCATCCTGCCGGGTATCGGTTTTTCTTTCTTTCTAAGAATGTATATTTTCTACATTCCGGTGAATCAAGAAAGAAAGAGAAAGAAAAATTGCCAAAACGTCCACGCTCACTCTGGCTCTATAAACAATCGATCCCCCCAAACTAGGAAGGAACAAAGGGAAGACCGGGCGATTTCCTCAAACCAGGTGGCGCCTAGAGCTTCCTCTCACAAAAGGGAGTCATCTACTCCTGTACATATGCTGCATTATGTATATGTATGTAGGGAGAGTAGCGCAGCGCAAGCAAGAGGTAACTTCGCAAAGAGGAAAGAAACCACCGCGCATGATGCGGTGCAAGTGACTCCCAAGGTTTTTCCCATCGGCTAAGTGGGTCTCCCTTCCCCCCTCCCCCCTCTCCCCTCTCCCTCCGTATGCCTTCCCCCGCCAGCTAGCGCGTAGCCAGTGTGTAGAAAAAGTCGAGTATCTCAGACAGGGCCAACCAATGAGCCTGGGGGTCAGAGCCTTCTACGTCACGTATGCTGCGGTGGGCACCATACATAGCATAGCAGAGAGTGAGCACTGAGCAGGTGGCCTAGAGGAGAGTTATCACAATACTCTATTGTAGGTATGTATGCGTGATGGACGGGGTGCTTCCCAAACTTGGGTCCCCTCCTTCCCCTCGTCAATAATATTATCATTGTGAGGCAGCCCCCCATAATGTATTGTATATGTGAGCTCTCTAGTATCAGGTAAGAAGGTAACTATTAAGGCAATTGGCAAGGTATGTAGAGTAGGCCAAGTCAGTCACTCCCCCGTGACAGCTACATGTAGATATACCAAGATAGATCAGAAGACAGCAAGAAACCAGTCTCGATGTTTCACCGCCAGCTTCGTGGGGGCCAGACTCTCCTACACCACATCCAGCCTAGCTGAGCTGAGCTAGAGTAGATGATCGGCAACGCGGTTTCGTTTCGTCCCGAAAGGCTCATGTCAGATACGGCCCGTAGCCCTAACTCTTGGAGATTTATCCACACGGACCCGCGCCTAGCCGCGATAGAAGCTGCTGAGGATTTTCTTTATTTTCAGATAGAGAGGGGAGGGGAAAAAAGATGAGAGACACGTGTTACATGGGAGAGAGGGGGGCGAGGCCGGTTCTGGGGGGGCGTTGATTAAATTATTTATATTAATTTGGGACTGGGGATTTGGGATTTGTTTCCCCCTTCGTTGTAGTCGGCGAGGACGAATGGATGAGAGGAAGGAATGGATGGAAATGATACATCTCGAGATCGGTTTCGGGTGGTGCGGATACGTGCATGCTGCTTCAGAAACCACTTTGAAAAAGCTGATTACAGTAGCATGATGGCTGTTTCTCTAACTACTAGCGCCTCTCAGAGCACATTCGATACGATACAGTTCCCGTTGTGGGTGTACCACCGGCGGGAAGGACATTTGCTTTTTTGAATATATTTTTCTTTCTATGTAGCTAGAGTACATGTAGCTGTAGCACCTCCAGTGTCTCTTTGAAATAAGGAAGGGAAATGCGCATGTGAGTAGACTCGTAGAGCACTACCTACTCTAGCGGCCGAAACCCAATCTCAATCTCGTAGGTAACACTCCAACGTCGCGGCCGCGGCACGGCTCAACCAGTGTCCTGTTCTCTACCTCCTACCTATGCTATTGTACTCCGATCATTGAAACATTGAAGATGTGAAGAAACCCCTGGATGGAGCAACCCCACGAACCACGCGCGAGGCCCGCCCGGGTCGTCGGGGGGTGGGTGTGTGTGGTGGATAGACTTTTTCAATGATTCTGAATAGAGTGCAAGGTGCACTCGCTGGAAAGACAGCATCACGCAACACAATTAACATTCCTTTGAGAATTTCTAGTTTTCGCTCTCCTCCGAGACCCTTCGCTATCTTGGGGCCAGATATGAGATAAAGAAGGTATGTAGAGGCTCATTAATTCATATTGAGGAAGCCTAAGCCCGGTTCCCTATATAAAAAGAATAAAAAATAAAAAATAAAAAAAGAAACTCGCATTTTCTTTTTCGCCAGCTCACGAAGAGGAGGGGAGTGGGGAAAGCAAAAAAGAGAAAGGAAAAAAAAAAAAAAAAAAACTCTGCTATGCCTAACAGAAGCTAGCAGCATGTACCTCTCTACCTCTGGAGGAAGTTGGTTTTAGGGCTGATCGCTATTACTCTACCTTGCTGAAGGGTTGGGGTTGAGGTTGGGGCTGTTTTTATGTTAATTGTCGGAGGATTCCCCCCCCCCTTCCTTGCAATTGTTGTCACGTAGAGAAGGCAAGTAGAGTGCGTATCTGCCTGCCCGATTTCTTGTATGATAGATTGTGGTTGGTTTAATTTTGGTTTTACAGGGGATATATGGATGGGGAGGTTTAAGAGTGAGCTGGTGGTAGATCTTCACACAGCATCATCATCTAAAAGGGATGAGGGGCGAAGGGGAGGGAGGGGGATGTGTGGGTGTGTGGGTGTGTGTGTGTCTCCCTGGTAATGAGAGTCCGCAATCGCAGGTAGCGAGCGAGATTTACATGAGTAGTGAGTAGTGGAGCTCTCTCTTATGACATTTGTTGTTTACTCTACCACCCTCTGTACAGTATGTACCTTATACCCTCCGAGTGCAATTGGAGGCTTCAATTGCAATTGCGCAAAGAAAAGAAGAGAAAAAACGTCTACTTACTCGTGCTCGGGGTCTTCTAGCTTCTAGCGGTATATATTGCGTTGGTCGGCGAATTAAAGGTTCGCCGCTACTTGCGAGGGGGGTTTAGGCCGGGAGGATCACCAATCATACCGTAAGCTGCGGGCAGTGGTGGTGTTTGCAAAGAGATCGATGAGCGCGCATACAAATGTAGGCTTTCCTTTTTTTCTCTTTCTGGTAGGGAGAGGGGCGAGAGATCAAAGTGTGAGAAAGGGCAGCAAAACGTCCGTTTCGTTTCATTATATGTGGTGTGACAGAAGAGCGGGCAAAAAGGGCGGTGGTGGTTGTGGTTGTGGGACAGAAAGTTGGTAGTGGTGACACTGGCACTGGTGGACGCATGGGCGGTTAGGGCTTTGAGAGGAGAGAGAGTGAGGGTTAAGCGCGGTAGAGGAGCCGAGCCGAACCGACCGAGAGGAGCTAGGGAAGAGCAGGAGCGAAGGGGGAGGGGGTGACGAATAGTTTAGTTCGTTACCTAGGGCGGGAGCGGGAATTAATTGAAAAATCAAGAACTGTTTTTTTCCCTCTAACTTTTCGATTTCGATATTTTATTGAGGAAGGGGGGGGGGGTGTGCAGAGATGGAATGGGGAAGGGGTGGAAAGTCCCGTCTAGGTATTTCGAGGCATGATTGTGGCAGATTAGACGCGGATACTGCTGCATATGGACCGGGGGGTATGTAGGTGTAATGTGTATGTGTAAGTATGTGTTATGTACCAGGTGAGCAGAGTATCATCTTACCTTATAGACCAGCAGGCACAAAGTTAAGTTACGAACGGAGTCGGAGGTATGTGAGGAAGGAGGAGAGTAGGAGGACGAGGGAAGAGGAAGAAGAAGAAGACCAGACCTACCTGCTTCATACATGTACCTTCTCCCCTCACACTAACTTCACTAACGCACTCTACAAGGTACCTAGAGTAGAGTAGAGTACCGTACTCTACAGTACCTAACCCACACCCATCCCCTCGCTCCCTTGCTGCTTCCCTTCACGGCCCGTTAGTTAGTGTGTGCTTGCTTGCTTGCTTGCTAGTTAGCTTAACTCTTTTGACTGAAGGCGCTGTTCGCTTGCTTGCCTTGACTGCCCTCGCTCTCCCCCTCCCTCGTCTATTTTTCAATTTCAGTTAGGGTGGTGCGGGTGCCTTTTTTTTCGTGGTTCCTGAGCTGCTGCTGCTACTGCTGCTGCTTCTGCGAGCTCATCGTTCCCTTTGCCCTACCTGCCTCTTCACACCCCCCCTCCCTTCCCTTCTCCCCCTTCTAAACGCCTCTTTCTCTCCACTCTTGCTTCCTACCCGCCCACCACCACCACCAGACACCACATATACACGCTTCCGCCCTCCCGCCCCCCTCCCTCCCTTCCTCTCTCCTCTCTTCCCTCCCCCCCCCCCTCTCAATCCATCCTCCTCTTCACGAGCACCACGAACCGGTACGAAAAGGAAAAGAAAGAAAGAAAGAAAGGAAGAAAGAAAAGTTAAACCAACGACCACCCCCCCCCGATATTTTTTAACCGGTGTTTTTTTGGCATTTTTTTTATTTCGTTGTGAAGGAATAAAAAAAATCTTTTTTTTCTTTAGATTTTTTTAATATTATATATATATATATATTGTGTTGTTTGTTGTTGTCGCGCGCGGCAGACAGGGCATAAGAAAAAGAAGAAGCAGCAGCAGAGGAAGGAAGAAAGGGTTTCAACTTTACTGCCCTTTGTGTTGGGTCTTTTTGGAACAGCGACCACTACGATTCACCTCGATTTCAGTTTGACGACAAACGTCCGGTCGCAATTGCGCCAATACCAGACGAGTCAAGCAACAGCTAGTCAACCGCTACTACCACTACTACTACAACTCTACTACACTACTACGACCACCGGCGAATACACTAGAGGGAACTACCAACAGGGCCCTGTGCTAGTTATCTAAGAAGGCAAGTTTACCCTCCTACCTCCCGGGCGATCGAGAGAAGAGAAGAGAGAGGTCTATTCGTTCGTTTCCATTCGAGATTTCCCATTTGTCTGGCCTGCCCGTTTGTCTGCTGCATACTACTCCACATATTATACCTCCAGCTGTTGGTTGCTTGCTTGATTGCCTACAGTTGCAGTTGCTTCTTGCTTCACCGCGCGAAGATGCCACTCACAGCGTTTTATTTTACCTCATGTAGCCTGCCTACCCGCTGTACCTGTATGTTGAAGGGAGATGGGGGGGTTGAGAGCGAAGGAAGAGAAATGATCCGAATTCACGCCCGGTCCCCTTCCTTGACTGCTCACACACCCCCCTCTCCCTTCGGCCCCTTCCTGCCCTTCCATAAATGTAGTTTTTTTTTTTTTTGCCTTTTCCTTTTTCCTTTCTTATTTCTATCGCTATAGACTGTTGTTGCCACAGCGACGCCCTTGCTCGCTCTCTATTCCCTATTTCTTTCTCCCGTCCCTTCCATTCACCGCTTTCTCGGTCACCAAGAGAAGGAGAGAGCAATACACGCCTCTACTATCCCACCTCCCAACCACCCAACCACCATCCCTCTTAACCTATTTCTTCTCTCTCTCCACAATTATTAGCCATGTTAGTCCTGACATCTCGCCTCTTGTGACAGCCTCTGTAGCACCACCGTCTCACAACAGAAGGAGAGATTATACCAATAAGCCAACGCCAATTGATAGTCTCTTAGAGACGCACTCGACTCAACAAGAAGAAAAAACTTCAACCACTCACAAATTTTCTTCTTCTCTATATACACACAACAGCCTAAATGGAAAACCCAGTATTCAATGAGCTCCTGGTCGCCCTCCCAGACTGGTCAGCACGACTAAAAGTACTGTCCGCACGATATCCCGAGACGTTCACACCCCAACCATCACGAAAACGCGCCCCATCACTCTCAATATGCGAGGATGAACCCGTGAAACCATGTGCCAAAGTGACACCAGCCGCGGAAGGATCACAAGCCGTCACCACCGTCGTTGGGCCACACCCTCTAAGGCAAACACCCGCAGCCGCAGCCGCGGCGGCTGCCGCGGCCGAGGAGAAGGAGAAGCTGCAGCAGAGGAAGGAAACCGAGGTACCGCAGGAATGCCCCCCACCACCAAAGCAGATGTCTAAGATGAACGCAAAGCCCACGCCTCCAAAGGCAAAGTTCTCGGCCATCAACGGTCCCCAGATCTACTATGACGGCGAGGCGCAGAAGGCGCTGTTCGACTGCTGGACAACGCTCAACGCGAAGCGCGGGCAGTTGAGGAAGGAGATGATGGGCATACGGCGGAAGAAGATGATGTCACTGCCCATAACCGACTATGGCTACAGTGACGAGTCGGATGAGGAGGATGGCGAGTCAGAAAAGAAGAAGGAGACACCCGAGGAGAAGCAGGCGAGACTGGAGGAGGAGAAGCGGAAGGCCGAGGAGGAGCGGATACGGCTGGAGCGGGAAAAGAAGGCAGCCGAGGTGTTGGAGTACATCGACTCGTGCCTAGATAAGGCAGCAAAGGGGTGCGAGAACGCGGCTTTCCTGTGGTTGAAGGGTGAGGCGTGCTCGGGTCACGTCAATTTCATTGTGGGACGGATGCAGGACGCGGTCGAGAGGATCAAGGCCGAGATTGCAAAGGCAGCGGAACCGAAGCCGGAGCCAGTAGAAAAGATTGAGCCGGACGAGGGGTTGGGGGACGATGATGAGGGTCTGGGTGATGACGTTTATATGGAGGATGCGGGCCAGCCACAAACAATCAAGGTAGATTCGAGGCCAGAGCATCGTATAGCACGTCCAATCCGGCGTGCTGGTGGCTTCATGGCTTAAGGACCCCGTGGTCGGAGTCCAATGGGCCATTGGACCTTCAGACAGATTCCCCTTCTATCACCACTACTACGTTGGCTGGGAAAAGCTTTTATTATTCATATTTTCAACGACAGACTCAATCCCCCCTCCTCCCCACTCCACCCCTATATACATACCGCCAAAAACCTTCAGATATCGAAAAATCGAAACAAAGGATCCAGCTAGCTAATTTTCATCTCTTAATTTCTGGTGGGGAGTGGGGACACGTAAAGGAAACGCAAGAAAAGAAGGAGAGGGAGAAAAAGGGACACCTCTCAATGTTATGTTAGTTGTTTTTTCTTATCGTTTTTTTTTCCTTTCATTTCCTACGTGCTCGTGAATTGGGAGGGAGGGAAGAAAGAGGATCTGAGGGATACATTGACATTTGAATTTTTTGTTTTTGATTTTTTTATGGCCCTTGCATTTCTGTTATGTATCTATCTGTCACTTTCACATCTTTTTTTCTTCTCAAGCCTCTTCATTTTTGGGCCGGTGGATTCTTTTTTTCTTTCTCGTCTTTTTCCTGCCACCAACAGTTTCCTCTCTGTTTTTGAGCACCATTTTTTCCGGTATCGTGTTCCCATTTTTTTTTTTTTTTGTGATATTAACGAATCTGTATGAAACGCATCATCATCATCATTCATCGTCAGTTTTATTATCTTGGAGTTTGTTCTTTTTTGTCATTATTGTTGACTATAGCTTTTTTTTTTCCTTCCTTTTTTTTTCGCTCTCATCCAGCGTTAGCAAAGCGAGCAAGCTTAAAGCTTCATCTACCTTACATACCTACCTTATCTACATACTCCTACATAGCTTCCTCCTTCTTGTTGCTGTTTCAATAGCCCAAAAGGAAAAGAAGACAGAGAGAGAAAATCAAAAAACAATTCTGGATCATGGGAGAATCAAATGGTTCATACATAAAGTGCATCCATACAGAGGAAACGTGGGAACGGCCCGCGGATCAATTCGATTCGATTCGGGAGGGTTAGGGGGGGGGGGGGGGGGTCAGGACCGGGAAACAACCCACAAAACAAAACAAAAAAATGCACTTGTGACTACGCCCTTAATTTCGGCTTCCCCGCAAAAAAAGATCTCGTGAGGGTGGGATGTAGGTTGGATGGAACGTAACCCTGGTGCTAGATGATACTCTACCTCGATCCTCCCCCTCGTCGTATCTACAGACAGGACAGGCCTGTGGTCGTGAAAGAAGGGATTGCTTGCTCAACTCCACTATATGGAACATATTATGATATTCTCCTCCTCCGTCCTCGAGTTTTTTCTGACACGTGCACTTTTCCACTCTGTGTCTTCGATCCAATTAACATCGTGCCCCGGGCCCCGCCTCCCCCATTTTTGTATTCTGGCCAATCTTGCCACGGAAAAACCCCGGTTGCGTTGCTCCTCCACAAAACAGGGCCGGAGGGGTGAGGTGAGTGAGCAGAAACAGCAGATCAGATCAATCCGCAATGGTCTGCATGGCATGAAGCAAGGTGGAGTGCTCAAAAGGCAGAAAAAGAAGGAAAACGTGGCGACGTGGAGCTGCTAGCTGTGATAGGATGGGACTGGACTACCTTTCTACTCTGTAGGTAGGTGGTGGTGTGCTTGGATCTCGCTCTCTTTCAAACGCAGAAAGCAGAAAACAGAAAACAGAAAACACCAAATATCCCCGAGGATGGACCACATCGATACTAGATACACCGCGGTAATGGGTAGCTAGCAATGTATTCTAGTTTAGTGAGCAAAATACGTGGAGAGCTAGCTAACTAGCTACCTAGCGAGGGACATGGGTTGTGGTAGTGCTCGATCGGAGGAGGTGTGAAAGAACGAGTTTCGATGGGGGAAGAGGGGGGGGGGGGGGAGGTGACGGGGGCTTCGGTGCTTTGGCATTGTTCTAGATTCGTCATGGGAGAGTTGTCTTGATTTTTTTCTCGGCTGGGGGGAACCGGTGGATCTGGATTTTCAGGATGTTTGGGTGAGGGAGAGGTCGTGGTTTGACATGCTAGGACAGAGAGGCATTAATCTGCTTCTGCTTCGGAACGCCCTCCACTCTAACCTCAAAAGAACGCACGGGGTCCTGCAGCTGAAAGAATGGTGCGGACTAGAACACTGCTACATAATACAATAGCACTGGTCCCACAAGCACAAGACAATGGTATTTTTTCCATGTCACCCACATGCCGACCGACCATCGCGTGTTGCCCTCATCTCCTTCCTCCCTCCCCAACCAAAATGAATTGATTGGTCTGGACAAGGGAAGGGGAAAACGGTCTGACAGGTGTAATTTTAGTTGCGGGACCACCCTTTTCTATGACATGACTTAGCTCGATGTATATAGTACTCTGGAGGATGGTATATATATTGGTTGCAAGGAAGAAGACTGGGATCACTCGGACTACTAGTACAGAGAATGAGGGCTTGATATACATACATAAAATGTATATATTGTACGTATAACTCTAGGCGATATAGAGCAGGGGGCCCGGAGCCGGCCGGCAACGAGGGCATATGGATGCATATGGATGCATATGGGTGAATTGGAATCCCCTCGGCTTCGGAGGTATGGTGTGGGCTCCAGGTCGGCGACGTTGCAGGTAAGAAGGGGTGTAGGGAGGGTAGAAAGGAAGGAAAGAACGTAGGAACAAAGTCGAATACGAACATAAGATTCACCGGCTGACAATTGGATTTGAAGGTCCCTAGCCGTTCTTAATTCTCGTGTTCTATGCAGAGCCACAGACAGCCGCAGAGAAGGAATAGGCTTTGCCTTGCCTTAACCTCCCTCATAAGGCTAATTGTAGAGCCTGGCTCATGGTAGTCCGGAAGTGTGGTCTGCTCACGAACTATCCTCACGAGAATATATTAGCAAAATATAAAAATTGTAGCCTCAATTATCAGGAGAGAATGTAGATTTATATCCTATACAGATATTGGCGGAAGGGTCGCTGCACCACTACTTGGCCTCGAGACCAGATTATCAGATCTTGAGTAACGACGGTAGGGTACTTGGGTGTAATGCGATAGCTGCAGGCTGCCTTGGCTGTCATCTGTATGCAGTTGAGGTGGGAGGGGGCTGACTGGTATAGACGGGTATGGGTGGCTGCGCTTAATCAATTCAAGCTTTGGATGAGGATCTAGATCTAGACTCGGCGCCTTGTGTGATGGGGAGATTGAGACGGGGCCTGGTGGAGCAAGTGGTATGATGTGAAGGGAACGAGTGGAAGAGAGAGTCGGCAGGTAGAGATGGTGTATGCCTTTTGATGTTGTCGTTACCTAAGAGATGAGTGAGGTGGACTGGTCGAGTGATCTCACGTGACGCTAGCTTGTGTTGACAGCTTCTCTTGGATTAAACGTAGTTCCAACAATTCTCTTGGGAGGCAGAGAGAATATTGTACTATATTTTCTGATTCTAGAAATAGATATAGTACAAAGAGCACGTATCGCGTAGATAATAATATAGTTTTCTGATACTGATAAATAAAATAAGAACAGACACTAGTAATACCATGGGGCTAGCCACCTTCTGTTCCTGATAACTGAAAACGTACGGTTAACCCAAAGGAATTGCATGGCGCAGCCATTGGAGTGTTTTGATAGCTTGCTTACCCTGCCACTAAGATAGGCGATACTAGCGAGACAAGCGAGTAGAGGGTACCGGTGTGCACACGAGTAAAATTCATAAACACTATTCGGAAAATGCTGCCCACCCAAGAAAAAGCAAATATGATGTAGCTTTACTAACAGATCTCGTTATCTCTTATACCAAATAACAGATCTCCTATATAAATTTAATTTCGGTGGGCAGAACCGACAGACGAAGGGTGCTATCGAAATCAACTTCAATTATTGACACTGCTATTATCACTATCTGTGACTGATGAGGTACATAACTTGACCCCAGCCCGCGGAAAACTTTATTGTAATAAACCTATCCACAATGCCTGTCGTGCAGTCACGTCTCGAGTAAAACACCATATTCCAAGCATATAAAATTCTAGTATGCTTTCAGAAGCCTCACTATCTCATCGTTCTCCGCGGACTCTGCCAGCTCAAATATCGTGGACCCAAAATTATCTCGCACATTAGAATCAAACCCGTCCATCAGAAACATCCTGCATAAACCCCCATATCCGAACTCCACGGCCCAAAAAATAGCTATTCTCCCAGTATTGTCTTTAAGATTTTTATCGGCACCCTCCTCAAGTAATACCCGGGCCACACCCTCGTGTCCTCCTATCACTGCCCAGTGAAGTGCTGTACCCCGATATCGTTGACTATAGACCGATCCCTCAAAGTTTTGGAAATCAATTTCTTTCCCATTAAAACTGCTCTTAATAATCAACCTGACTACATCTTCTGACCTTGATGTCACTGCCCAATGGAGGACCGTCGAAAAGTCGTCCGTGCGGGCATGTATATCGGCACAGTGCTTAAGGAAAGACTCGATTATCTCGATATGCCCCTCCGATGCGGCCCGATGAAGTGCAGTGAGGCCTTCGTCGTCACGGTCATTAACCCCAGCCGCTCCTTTTTCTAGGAGCAGTCGGATTAGAGGTTCGTGGCCTTTCGACGCAGCCCACATGAGTGCTGTCACTCCGAGACTATCCTCGACTGCATGCTTGTATAGCATACTTTGTAGGGAACATGCGAGGATTTTGTTCCCTCGAAGAAGGGAGCCGAGATCTTTCGGGTTGAGATATCCGGCAATAAGAAAGAGCAGTTCATTTGGGAGGTCTATCAAAAGTATTTCTTTTATGTAGATTAATAGAAGAGTGGTATTAGGGGAGGAAGGGCTGTGTGGGGTGAAAGCTCCGCGGACTCACCAGAAGTACCTGTAGGGTACTTAAGAGGGTTTGATTCTAGGCTCAACTGACCAAGAAGCTGAGTTTTATTGTCTAACTGTAGATATATTCATGTACACCGTTTTAATTATCAATTCTCTGAATCTTAGTGATATGACATGCGCGAGACTAGGCCCATCGGGTAGTGACATGAGCATCCGAGGTCTTACTTCGAGACACCTACCACCAAGAGGGTCGAAACGGAAAGTCTGTAATACAGATCGTGGATATCTCTCTCGTCATAGACTTGAAGTAAGTGGAAATAGTTGTAAGTTTGGAATCCCGAATGGAAACCTTCCTGTGAAGCTCGAGGCAGTATAAGGAAATGCCCACTTAAAGTTCTTAATATCTCGAAAATGTCTCACGAACCACAGGGATCAATGACTGGTTTCACTTTTCGGTCCAAGACAAGACATGGTGACGTCTAATTGGCCTGTGCCCCATAGATTCAAAGATCTGCACCACCGAAGGTACTTATTCTCGATAAACTTGGTTCGGGTTTGCTTTTTTCCCCTACTTCGTATTGTTTATGATCGCGGCGTTGACAACTCACTCCTAGAAGCATAAGTCTGCAAGATAGGCAATGCGTAGACGGGCCAGATTTTGTACTATCTAAGTACAATCATGATACCCGCAACTAGTTGTGTATATATCGATCAGCTCACTTTACTCCTAAAAAGAAACTACTAGATTTAGGGATCCGAAGTCTCAAATTCTCACTAGATACGACTGTAACTGGTTGATTTCAGCCCACCAATGAGATTCTATTCTTTTAGAGACCAATCCAGAAAATGTTAGCTGTTAGGAGTGCAAGCCTTAGTAAGCTCCAAAAGAGTAAAGGCTCCCAACATAACATCGGATCCATGGGCCAATAAACAACGAGAGTGTTTGGCTCTTTCTGCCAAGTACTTACAAACATTCTCTGCTTACTTGCCCAGAAACTTCTAAGCTTCATGCATGTTGAAGTGTATTCCCCAGTTTTTTTTTGAGAAAAAGACCGTCGGTTTCCTGGCAGGCCAATGGGAATTTAGGACAAGTTCCTTTGACTGGAGATCCATGGTTAAATTTACATGTACATAAGCTCTAATACTGGAATTTCTATATGTTCGTGCACTAGAAAGAGTAACACTATCAATATTAGCTTCGAGTGCATTCCAACGGTCAAGGGAAAAGTCGATAAATATGACAGTCAACAGTGTTCAAGATAAGAGATACATGCCCATGCAGCATCTCCCTCACAGCACGTAACCAATACCGCTGTATTTGAGAAAATTCGTTGCGCTGCAGCAGGGGTCTTCTCTACCAAATCTTGCATATTGACGTCCAAATACTGCCTCTGGTTGGCTCATACCCCTGCTGCAGCGCAACGAATTTTCTCAAATACAGCGGTATGCCGGCGTCTCGACACTAATAAGTTTCCCCTATCCCTTAGGCCGTCTGACCTGATCTCAGTCGTGTCTCTCAAACCCAATAGAGTTCATGGCTAGATGATATCATGGATTAGGTGGGGGCTAGTGTAAAATCGTGAGGAGCTATGCATTCCTACAGTTTTTTTTTATATATCACAACTTCCGCACCCGGTTAATGAGCAACACGATTGAGATCAGGCCTGACGGCCTAGGTAATCTACACATTCTCCGTCAGCTCTAGTAAGGATAAAGCCAGGGATATCATAATTATATTTAGATATTGGATATTACTTACTACTAATAGTATAAATATCTAAAATATAGGTTAAACCCCTGCTTCCCATGTTGAATTGAGGGAAAAATTGTATCTAATCTAAATGTAGTGTGATAATTATTGGTGAGGAGAGGGGTTTTCTGGGTAGGTAGCTCGATTGCTCACGGTCAGCGGCCGGAATCGAAAATTTCAAAGCTTTAGGTACTCACCGCATAAATTTATGTGTAGATGATTTTCCATCTCATCAGAAGTTCTCTAGAATGGGGTAGATTCTGTGTGTTGTGTGTGTTTGCGTTGGGGAGCTAGATGTGGGGGCGGGGGAGAAGTTAAGTACATACGTAGATCTAGAAAGATGGCTGGAGGGTAACGTTAGCCTCGTTCTAAGACCTTTATCGCAGCTTCTGCAGGCTAGGCCCTAGGCCCTAGGCGCCAACTGGGTACGTGTACGAAAGCTTAAATTAACGACACTCCATTTCTTCTTTTCTCGTTCTGTTTGACCAAAGCAAGGATTTTTGTGTCTGGGTTTCTCTACACCAGACTAACAGTAGCTCAACGTAGGAAGTAACCTTTCCAATAGCTTCTCCTGGAAGCCCTTCTATCGCACTGTGTTTTTGTGGATATCGTCCGTTCTCTCAGCGGAGTTGGAGATATGAGAAGTCTAGTAAAAATCTCGTAAGACGAGATCTACTTGCACAGGCGGTGATTTACCACATATAGCTCTCTGTTGTGTCTGGATACATGAAAATTCCAGTACTGGTGGAATAGGATGTGTATTTCGACATGCAATGGAATTTTATAATTCCATTTCAACACTTTTATCGCTATAGAGAATTATCACAGTCTCGGCACGGGACTAGGCGTTCTCTATGACTGAGATAAAGTAAGGTCCTTGGGAACCCCAGATCAGTGGTACTAGTTGTTAAAGTTTATTAGCTCCTAGCTGCTATCGATATAATACGGGTTGTTCGAGAACAGATGAACTAAACACTCCTTAGTTCATGTGCCACAACGATTGATTGTTTATTGGGGGCCGTTTCTGACCGGACGTTTATAGTTCACTTGGGGATCATGATAAATCCGATACGGAAGACTCCCTGTTTAGTTTCTGAGTCGAAATCAAATGGAGAATCTGAATTACCCTACGCCTATGGAATTTGGTTTCTGATTCTGCGGGAGAGTTTTTGTCTGATAGTAAAACATTGCATTCTACGTCGGTAATGATAAAGGCTAAGATGAGTAGGCATTTTGAAGTTCGTCGTAGTGCTAGTATGGGCAAACAAGGTTATTAATTACGATCGGCCCTAGGTAGAGCTGCGCCGTGATATATCATCCGGGGTTGCTAGGCTATTATCTATTCAAGATATAGCTCATACTCAATTAAATTTATAACGCCAATAACTGCATATAGCTCACATTCAAATGCTGAACACTTAATAAGCTAACATACACAAAACATGTTTGTGGAGTAACAATATATCTATTTCCTAATATTGACGGATTGTTTTCTTTTCGGTGTTGCGCCAGGCCTAGGGACCGGGGGCTTTAATTGTCGCAGATATTGGCCCCTGATTGCCTGTATTCGAACAGCTAATTATGTGATCACCCCCTCCGCCCCGAACATCCATCAATCTTGACCTGTTTACACAGTTCACCCATGATTCACTAGCTTTAATTCTGCTTGCTGGTGAGCACTCAACTTGTCCAATCGAAAATACATCGGCCCTATATCTACTACATTCCGGTTGAATGGCAGAACGATCCTTTCTACGACTTCCCGATGAGCCAGATAATAACTGCCCACTGATCTCGGAGTCACCTGCTTCCTCAAGACCACCTGTCGAGTACATCCTTACAACAGATGGTCTCAGAATCTCAGAAACCTATGCGGCAACCACCACTGCTAGACCCGTCCCAGTTCTGAAGCGTGAGCTATCAACAGTTCTCTTAAAGGATACATATACTGAAGAAGAGATGTTGCAAAAGATTCAGAAGATGGTTGGTCGCCAAAAAAGGCCTGGTTTTCTGGGAAAGGTTAAGAGATTATTTCTGCTTCAGGATGATAAGGAGGTGACAGTTGTTTATATGACTGCAGAAGAGGCAGCCTGGAGAAAGTTGAGAGTGGAGAATCATGTTAAGGCTGGTGGTTTTGTTGGCACTAGAGGGGGTTGAGAAGAAGGATCCTGTGAATTAACACTCTATTTTTCATGTACGCCTGGGATAGGAGCCAAGTCCAGGAGAAGTTTGGAAATAATTCATAAGTACATAAATAATACATAATAACGCAGGAGATTTCATATAGAAAATAACGTGCTTTTCTGCTCCAGACCAATCTACTCGGCATCCTTACCTGCATCCTCTGGTTTTTGGCCGTAAACAACGAATCTGGGTTCACGAAATTAGTATTGATCATGGTGAAAAGTAGTTTAGGTGGTATACAATCTGTAATAACCGTGGACCTTTCTATTAAGGTATTCCGCTCGTACCTGTCCCAGCAGGGCGTGGACCTCAACCGGATTCCAACCAAGGACGCGTGTATAAATCGCCATTGTAAATCCCTCTACAATCAACGTTATTTCAGATTCTCCAGGCGAATGGACCTCAAAAGTCAAAAGGGACATATCAGCTGCCTCCAGCATATTCAACAAATTATACTTCCCGATCTCCTTAAGATGTTTATCCCGAGGCCACGGCCTCACAGGTACCTTATACTCTTTCTCGACCACGTTGATAAATCCCTGCTCCTCCATCCACGGCTTAATCTTATACTCCAGAGTGAAACTCTTTCCAATCTTCTCCTCTGCAATCTTACAGTTACGGCCCCACTCTAGGACTGCAGAGACTTTGGGGATGGAGTTATCATCGCTGAGGTGCTCCACTGTCGTCTCAACAGATTCAAACCATCCGCCGGGCTTCGTGACCTCGTATGCACGGGAGATGAATTGCGGCTAGTCGCTAATGCTGCCGTAGAGGGCACGGGCGTGCACGAAGTCGAAAGAATTGGGCTGATGTGCCCATTCTTTCGTGAAGTCATCGATTTCGAATTGGAGATTTGGGGGTACCCTGGGTAAATGTTAATAAACAATTACTCTTGAGTTAGTGGAGATGTAACATACCATTCAGGTTGGATTGGGGAGAGATCATTCCCAATGATTCGGGCCGACGGGAACTTGTCCGCCATATCGGTCGCCCAGATACCGGTCCAGTACCTAGATCAAGAATATTCTGCGGGACATTCCTAATTGGGGCTTTGAAAAGGTCTCCTTCTAGTACGAGGGAGTATATGTGGTGAAATATATCTAGCTGCCCGTTCTGCTTATCGTCATTGGGGCCCAGTATTTGCCATCACTGTAGGCATGGTATCTGTGGGGGTATAACAGTAAGTCTGGGAATTAGATACTGAAGAGATAAGAGGGTAGTTACCGCCGACCGTTTTCATATCTATATTTGGTTATTGAAGATGCAAGTGATGTTGTATCAGTGCCGCTGGTAATGTTAGGAATCTGGCTGACAGTCGTTGAGGAGATATAGAGACGCTAAGGTTTGCTACGTACGCGCCACTCCCATAGAGGGAATCATAATCATTATCTTCAGAACCCGAAGATTCTGCTATCAACGGGCTCTGAGTAGCCGGTGACGGTACCATGGTTTGCTGCTGATCGCGTGGAATTTACACTAATCTAATTTCTGGCCTTGGGTTTAATGTTATGGAGGAGTGCTTATAAGAAAGTAAGTAAGATATAGCCAATCTAGGTTCTCGAGGATCTTTTATATGTGTGCTCTGATCAAAACGTGGCCCCGCATTTACAAACCAGGTACCTTGTTTATTTGACCTTTTTTTTCTTTATCTACTATATATACTACGAGAGAGAAAACCCCCTTCAGCGCTTGCATTCCCGGCACTAGGAGAATTCAGGCCGGAGGTTTTCACGTGGTTCATGGAGAATCCTGGCCGTGGGCGGAGCAGGCTCTGTTCGTTTTGCATGGGCCATCTGGTTCTATCCCTTGAACGATGTTAATTCTTCGGTTGTACTCTCAACTAGCTATAGGTGGAAACCTACCTGCACAGCACGGCAGCTCTTCACTAATGCAAAAATATTTCTATCAGGATATCTATCTCCATTAATAGTATGTGTTCTTCGTTCCTTGAGGGTTGTTCGTGCCTATTCTTGCCTACATGCGGAAGGTATGGAGTAGGTATGGGGCCCGAAACGTGTGTCTGGGGATTGTATCGCGTATGCGTACATAAAACCTCGTTTATTCTAAATGAACAGGCTATAATTTGAGAGGAGTACATGAGGTAGCTGAAGGGGGGATTCTCGAGTAGGTTATGGATACCTGCAGGTTTGGGGTAATCTGTGTTATATTAGCGGGCTCGTACGTACGTTCCTATATCGTTATCTTTTTGCGTCGGCTGATTAGACGCCTTATGGGCACGGGTTAGAGTAGAATCATTGACAGCGCTTGTCGATTATTTACCCAGACATCTGTATAGCTTCCTACCTGAGGTTCACGCATCTATATTATACAATCAATCGATTGATTAATACTCCGATTAGTTCAACTGTTCCAGCTCTACCTACATGGCTGGCCCTTGATCATCAGTCCTTTCTTGTTGATAGGGGTATCAATAATATCTCTAAGTATGCAAGTATGTCGTATTCAAGGTAGACTGCACTCCTGAGCTGTTCGGCTAGAGTGAGTACGTACTTTATATTCAATATATGTGATAGCCGACTTGCCGATCACGCACGTTGCATGCCCAATCACTCGGTTACATTGCCAAGACATTCTCGGGATAACGGAGCGACCAAGAGATGTGCGTGATGTAAAATACACACCCAGCATACTATTGCTAATAAGCGCGTAAAAGGCCCTAATTTTGCCGCGATGGAGGGTACCGGTGGTATGAGTTATTTTAAGCGAGAGCAGGATTAAATCATGGGTTACTCCGTTACAATACGTTAATGGAAGGAAGCGACGGTGGTATGCCACTAAAATAGCTGTGGATGATACATCATGTGGATTCGAGTTTGATCATGGCTGGAAGATTTCGAGTATATCGACGCCGGCGCCGGAGTAAAGGCCGACACCGACACCCAAACCAAGGCTGTGGATAAGAGCCCGGTATTCCAAAGGAGTACACGCCATACAGCAGGGTTTATATGTAATCTTTTTGGAGTGTGAAGACGAGCCCAACAGATATTTATCTCTAGAATCAACATTCGATTCACGGCACCAGATCAGCGAGCTAAGCCGTGGCCATGGCCGCGGATTTTTTTCCACATGGTTTCTTTCTAAACCACACACTGTACCGGGTATTATGTGTTGCTGCTTGGTGACTATTTATATTGGGTATCCTCAATTGGACGCACCCTAGGCAAAAGTGGCCGAAACTGTACATGATATGCACGAATATATTGGGGAACCAAAGTGGTATGTACCCAAGTGGTTCTAACTATTCGGGTCTTAGGGAATGAACGCAGTTGCCGCTGAGCTTGAAGGGTATTAATTTGCAAGTTTAATGTTCAACTATATTAATTACACTAGTATCAGTGCTGCATGTGCACATGCACTTAGTATTAATATTCAAAGTCTGAAAGAGTGAAAACATGTACGACAAATTGACATGAGGCGGACTTTCTAGGAGTACTAGGCCATAGATCAAATAGTATAGCCGATAATGAGAGGTAATTGGAGAAGTTAGTGGGTAGTTGAAGAATGTATGCAGTGGGATTTGGAATCTTATTAATTACACATGATCATGAGTCGCTACATACAACTTCCAGCAATCAGACACTATTCTTAGTGATGAATTAAAAGATACGAAAGCTTCTACGAAATTAACCCTCAATTCTTGTGTTGAATAGAGAGCACATGACATCCTATGGTTCCCCGCGAGACTCGGGCCAATACTATTATTGCTGGTTAGAAGTTTTGATAAACTAACCGATATATGAATATATCCGTACCTAGCCTTTGGGCTATATATTCAACCGATGAGTTATAAAAAAATTCTTCGGACTAATATTCGGTGTGCTAGACCGGACTCGCCTCAAGTTTCGGTAGTCTGTGCTGTTCTGGCCGCACTGTCTTCAGTTAACACTTCTTTTGCTTAGTGCATTTTATCATGGTGGGATACGAGCACTGCACATCGGGGTTTTGCAAATATAAATCTTATATTAAGTATGATGTACTAGTACTAGACTATATTGTAAGCACATCCTCAACAGTATATGTACAGCAATCGCTTTATGTAGTAGGCTTGGGGCCAATGATTAAAACGTATTTTGTTCTTGTTTCTTGGCAATACCGTTTCCAGAGCTATAGAGAATTACATCTCCTAATAATAGTTTTCATTTGATGTATCAGAAGGTCGTCGGGAGCACCTTTTAAAGTTGATAGCCTTGGTCCCCTTAATCTTTTATATCGGGCTTGTTCATGCTCTATGGATCCAAGGGAGCTAAGCGGGGAGGAGGTGAAGAAGCTAACTTCGGCACGGAGGAGACATTACGTATATCTGAGTTAGAACACGATTTCCAAAGCTAAATACAAGGCCGCCAGGCACTCATCATTTTAAAAAAGCTTCACTTGTCGCCCACACTGCTCACAACCTGTCGAGAGCATTGGGTATTGCATCATTGGAACAAAAAGATTTCTCTACAGGTTGGGAGCAATTTCTATCGCCATTAAACTTACAGGGTTCTGACTCGTATCTTTAGGTTAATGTAGTACCGCCGACGACTGTAATGGGACCAAGCTATTTAGTTTTTACGCCGCTGCATCCGTACATACGTAGTTCGTACCTGAGACAAACGAGCCCCATGATCCATCTACATCACAAAGAATTACAGTTTTATTACCAGCGCGGTCAGAATATAAAAACTTCATACAGATGTGGGGGAATTTTTGTGTCGGATAAAAAGCGGCTGTAGGAAGCTCGATGGCCGGGGAGTTTAACCAGAAATACCAATCTAAAAACCTTATTTCAACAAGATGATGTAAGTTTCGGGGTGCTCATATAATAGACCTTAGGCTTTTTCTTAAGACCTTAGAACTAGCTTGGCCTTAAAGAGGACAGTATTAGTACGCGTTTTAGAGGTACTGCTCACGTGCCATATCATGGCTATCGTATCTCCATCACTACACGTTTCACAACTCTTGTTATCCCTGCTCGACAACCTTTTGTCATCTTCATAAATCGCTACATAGCTAGCCAGCAACAGCTAGAACCTCAAATCTCTGACGATAAGATATCGGATAAAGTGCAAAGAATTATTGTATAAGGTGTTCGTGAAACCTCACCAGGAGAGGATATCGCTATCAGCGGGCCGAAGACCTCATGGCGTTTCATTCATGAAACCCGTTATGGCCGGTCTGGCTACAGTTCTTAGGATATAATCTACAATATTCCCGGCCTCTTCTTTGCTCTGGATTGGTTGATCTTCTCGAATATTTTTTTTACTGCGTGGGCATTTGCAATTGACGACAAGAATACGTTCATTCATAATAAACCGGCCTGGAAAGCTAATATAGCAAGGCTAGGCTTTGACAATATACACTTACATTCTTCTTACGTATCCTTCTCTTCTAGTAAAGATATACGAGATGCGACGATCATTATCAGTAGTTTTCATAACCTTAATAATCCCCCTCACCCACGCTCTCCTCGATACGGGATTCAACATCACCAAGCCCTCCTGGCTCTTTAACGGCATTCTTCCCGCATCTGCTACAGACGAGCTCCCCGCAGCCTGTATCTCCGCATATACGGAGCCCATAAACTGCAACACCACGATTTTAATATCCCCCAACCTTGACACCAAGAACGAAACACTCGAGGACTCATGTAACCCAACCTGTGCAGCCTCACTACTGAATTTCCAAAAAAAACTTAAAGACGCATGTGCAGGCATTGATCTCAGGGATCTGAACCTGGATACATCATGGCTAGAAGCAGCGGTGGACGGCGAGGCAGGCGTATTATTATACTGGAAACAATGCGTCCGAGATCTGTAGGTACACATATATATGTATACCCCATAAAAATCAATGTTCCCCGGTCTAACGCCACGACAGAAAGACCAATGTGCTCTGCATGATTACCGAGGAGGACTATGTAATCGCCTGGAACGCCGTCTCCGCCGACACCGCCTCCGACGCCTCCGTGCAGCGCTTCTGCGCCGACAACTGCCTCACACAGTCCGTAGTTCTCAATGTCCCCAGCGCCGAGAACCTTGAAGACCTGCGGGAGATGTGTAGCGATATCGAGATTGAGGAGTTCCCGTTTATTGATGCTATGGTGTTTGCGAATCTTATAGAGGAGGATAACGGTGCTGTGGTCGCGGTGGGGATGAATGCGAGTTTAGGGCCTCCAGGGCCGCCGGAGGGGATAGGGAGGAGCTCTGGCGCCGCTTCTGTGGGGAGGGTTGGTACAGAGGTGGTGGTGGTGGCCTCGGTGGCATGGGGGTTTGCGGTGTTATATTTATAAAATCATCTTACGGGCCGGTCCCGATTTTGTTTCTTGTTCTATATCGGGCGTTTATTTTAGTTTATACTTACCGTCATATTAGTGAGGAGCCTCCATAGATCTTACTTTCTAGTTACCAGAGGACTTCCAGCGGGAAATTCCAAGGCATTTTTTTCTTTCAGAATAGCATGTTCTGCTTAATTCGCAAAACGACTTTTTGCTATATACTAGACGGTCTGGATTAGATCACACTCTAGTTTACATTATCCCGCAAGAAGTTAGCTTTGAGGGGTCAATGATTGAACACATTTTGTTCTTGCCTCTTGGCACTACATGTACATAGGAGCTAGCTGGTATTACGTCTCCCGCTAGTACTAATAATTCCCGCTGCGCCAGTGCGGAACAGTCCTGTTAATTAAAGCACCTATCAAAAACAAATCAGAAACCAAACGTAGCCGCAAACCTGGGATCTGAGCAAGAAAACAACTACCCCCCCATCTTCACCAGCTCCAATGCAGACAACCATCCTTATCCGCGGTTCTAACGGGAGACCTTCCCCATTCAGACACGAACCCTCCTCCATATATTCTCAAGACCAGGCAGTTACCGGCGCATACACAGCCGTACGCACCATGCTACATAGACATCTAGTGTCCCGTACTTAAATACATTCAGATCCTACAAACAGCATCCCCCACCGTAAGATCCATCCACAGCCTACCATCAGCAACCTACCGTGCCCCACTCGTGAACCCCGCCTGTCAGCGTTTAGTATAGTATTGATTAACCCTGGGCGCCGAGCTCACCTGATAGATATAAGGGTCCTAGCCATATAGGCCCGACCTTCCCCGAGAAAAAAAGTAAAGGCACCGCCGCCTTCACCTAACCCTAACTAAAACGGCATCGAGTGATTAACTGTGATGCGATATTGTACTTTTTTTTTTTTTGTTTAATTCATTAATTGCATGCAACTTTACTTGCGATATTGTACTGTTGTCTTTTCTGTTTTTCGGGAGTTGCGTTTTTTGCGGGTTATCCGGATCATGACTTAGGACTGCTCGGTTTAAGAGGTACATGTATTATTTTGAAAGCTTGGGTTGGTTGGGTTTGGGTGGGCATGGGTTCTTGATGTAGGTTTTTGGTACAAATACACCGGGGATTAACAGCTCGACATAACGGAGAAGAGGCTACACCTGGCATTGCATAATCTTTATTTTTCTGTACATCTTCCTTTTTTTTTTAACTACACTACATACACAATAATATCCATTATCATTACCATAAACCTCCACAGGTAACCAACTACAAGTCCATTACACAACCTAAACTTCTACAACTAACTACAAGTTCCCATACCCCGCATTCTTCAACACCCACTTGGCCACATCCTCCGTCTTCTTCTGGCGATACTCATACGGCGGCGTAAACACCACATCCGTATACTCATGCGTCGCCCACTCCGCCACGACCCTGCCCGCTGCCGCCGCCGCCGCAACTTCCGACGCCTTAGCCGCATCATACTTTGTCTTTGCGACCGCCTCGAGATCAACCTCTGTGCCATTGACAGTCGACTTGACATCCTTGAACTTGTACCCCTTGTAGTTACCGACCACGAGGTTCGTCTTGGTGGTCATCGACTCGGTGCCGTTGATTTCGAACGCGTTGCGCTCAGAGAGGATGGTGGAGTTGATGCCCATGCCGAAGAAGTAGACGATCTTCTCATCGCCCGAGCTCTGACCCTCAAAGTAGTTGTTGAAGACGTGCACCTCGCCGAAGCGCACGCGCGGGCTGCGCTGGAGTGAGTTGTAGTAGTGGTTGCCGTACATTGTGACGTGCAGGCGGCCGGTGTCGCCGGGGCCGAGGTTGCCGGCGTCATTGTTGCCGATGAGGTTGGTTTTGTCGTGTGAGAGGAACTTGTTGAAGGAGAGGGTTACGGCATCGGAGCCCTCGGTGATGTCGATGAGGCCGTCGTGGCGCTGGATCTGGTGTCCGAATACGATGGGTTCATCGGAGTCGGGGTGGTCGCCGTCGGAGAGCGTGATGTGGTCAATCCAGATGTTGGTGCTGGTCACGACGCCGATGCAATCGTATTTGGAGTTCCAGTTACCAGTTGAGCCATCGGTGGGGTCCCACTCGGGGAAGAGATCGATGGGAGAGTAAACCTCAAAGTTTCTGCGTATATCGGAAAGCATCATTAGCCCACCTTTTCTCCCCATACTCCTAACCCACATCCCCCAAAGATCATTGACACAGGACAAACGACAACAACATACTTCAGAATGACATTATCCGTCTGATTCAATGCAATGTACGAATTCTGGATCCTGGCCACCTTCGCCTTCTTTGCGCTCTCAATCGTCGTATTGTTCCCAATCTTGAGCACAATCTGCGCCTCCTGCTCGTTCGACGCCGCCTGCCGGAACGTCTCCTGCGCGTCAAGGAGTGCAAGCTCCGCCGCGTCCGCCGGGTCCGTCGAGTTACCCAGGATAGCGCGCAGCGTCGCGTTGAACGAGTCAAGGTAGCGCTCAAACGTATAATTCCCGTTGCGGGCATAGTGCTCTTCCGTGGCTAGGGAGCCATCGGCGAGGTAGTCACCGTCGATGAGGCCGTCTGTTTGGTGGCTTTGTTAGCTAATGGTTTGGTTATATGGGGAATTGGGGGGAATGAGGGGGGCGTACTGATGTAGATGATCTTTGGATCGTGAGGGGCTCCGTTATTGTCGAGCGCTGTACGGAGCTCGTTGAAGTCTGTGACGGTGTAGATGCTGCTCTTTGGGGCGGCTGCTCCACCGGTGGTGTGCTCTCCGTAGCCCCAGATGTCGGTGGCTGAGGCGAGTCCTGCGGCGGCCGCAAGACTGAAGATCAAGTAGAAGCGGGCCATTTGTTCAGAGAGAGACAGACGTACGGGGCACCGAAAGAGGGAGTGATGAGCCGGATCGTGAGATGCATATATCTCGTGGGTTTTTGCAGCATTATATAGTTTCCTCCTCCTGCCTCCCCTCACGTGCCCCCCCCCCAAAAAAAAAAAAATTGAATATACTCGATATAATGGAAAAAAGTAGATCAATGTAGAAAAGATTTCCCAGCGGACCTTTGGGTGCCGAGGCTAGTATATTACTGTGCATGTAGATGCTCGCAGATAGGTACTTGTATCCACCCTCCCCCATCTCTCCGCATTTAAATTGACCCGCTGGCACCCAAATTTCCCCTGCATCTGGGTAAAAGGAAGGATTTAGAGACTCAAAAGCAGCCGAAATGCAAAAACCCGGGAAGCTGCGTAATCGTAATTCCATCAGGCTGGATTTGATATTACTCCTCTGTCGCACCAGATGATTACAGACCCAACATGTAGGTACATACATATTAAAGCTCCGAGTGGACGATGTTTGTAGATAGCAAGCTCGTATATTGAAAACAGCTCAGTACCCTCATGATAAACATGTGTATCACAGACTATGACCAGATTCCGAGTTAGTCTGAATGAGCTCTCCTCAACGTTCGCTCGGACAGCAGATTCGGATAAACACTAACATCAGACGAACGCCACATTCGGTATAATACCACCGAGACCCCACAAAATATCCCGGGTATGTACAGAGCTTAGCAAAAATTAGAGGTAACCGACCAGGGGCTGTAGATTGCCGACAAAAGCAGGGATGTGGATATATGCGGGGTGTGTGGGGAATGAGGGAAGGAAATAAATCTGGGGTAAGTCAGTAGCTAGTAGCTAGTAGTAGTAGGAGGCCTAGGTAGTAGCCATTCCACATTCGTTCATTCAACTACAACGCCATCCGTGTGTGTATATATATTTCAACCAGGAAGAAAAGGTAATCCGGGATATGGCAGTGATTATAAAGTACCCCACACATAGAAGCCATAAAATAAACAGGTACATACTCGCCATATTATGCCAAGTACTGCACATGTGGTCATGTGTGAAAACTCGTGGCGTATTCAGGTACTGCTTCTGATTCTTGCTGAAATAAATAAATCAGGCATCTCGGTATCAATAGGCCGGCAAAGTACTCTAGATTGAAATCCGGGGTCCTTACAGCTAGCAGCTACATGCGACGAAAAGGTGGGTATCGATTCAGAGTTAACGGCCATCTCCATCCATCCAAACGTCATTTTTCCGGGGTGGGGGGCATATGCTGTACGCGAATACAATGCAATTGCAATATAAACCCTAGAGGCTTGGAAAGATTGGTTTTTGATTGCTGTGAGTTTTTCCTTCCAGGGATTATGGATGTGGTTCTTTCTCCAGACCTTGCAATGCTGATGTTCGGAGTTATGGAGAAATCGCAGTATATAAATGATGCTGGAATTCCCCCCGCTGGTGTCAATTGCTACTTCTCTGTTTGTCCAGTAGAGAAAACAGGAACAGACCAGCCAATCCAATTGAGCATCTTTAAATATCTCAATCCAAATCGTACCGCAGAAACGTTAGTTCGTAGCTGTTCTATATCACGATCACGATGCATATCCTCAACCTCCTGCTCCTGCTCCCAGTAACACTGGCTGTCGCAACCGGCATCACAAAGCCCCCCAAGGGCTCTGTTGTAGTCGACATCAATAGCAGTTCCCCCAATGTCTTCAAATCCGTAAGCCTGCATACTCAAGGAATATGTTTCTCCACCCCACTAACACTCACATAGGTGCAAGACGCCGTCTGGGCCCTCCCGAATGACACCTCCTCGCAGACAATCTTCATTTACCCCGGAACCTACAAGGGGCAAGTGGTACTCTGGCGTCCAGGCCCAACCGTCTTCCAGGGCTACACCAAGAACATCAAGTCGCAGAAAGGCAACACTGTGTTGCTCACAAACTCGCTGGTAGCCTCAGTGGCCGGCTCGAACGCAAAGAGCGCTACCTTGCAGATCTATTCAAATGATACGACGGTGTACAACATCGATATCGAGAACTCGTATGGTACCGGCGGGGCAGAGGGGTCCCAGTCTCAGGCATTGGCGCTGTGCCAGGCGGGTGCTAGAAATGGATACTATTCGTCTGGCTTCTACTCCTTCCAAGTATGCCCTGAATCAAAATGTTAGCCGCAATCGAAGCAATAACTAAAGGTATCAACTAGGACACTGTCTATACCCAAAACGGCACCGCCTTCTTTGGCAACGTCTACATCAAGGGCGCCGTAGACTACATCTTCGGCATGCGCGGTCTCGCATACTTCCAAGACGCTATCCTGGCCTCCTCGCGCGCTGGCTATATCACAGCCCAAGGCCGTGAGAACTCTTCTTACTTTGGTGCCTACGTATTTGACAATGCCAAGCTCATCACCGTCGAGAATGCCACGGACAACAGCATGTTCCTCGGACGCCCATGGCGCAACCATTCCACTGTCGTGTTCAAGAACTCTGACTTTGGCAATGTTGTAGACCTGCGTGGATGGTCAATTTGGGGCTCCACCGACCCAAGGACTGATGCGGTGTACTATGCCGAGTATAATAATAAGGGTGCATCAGCGTGGAACTCGCAGAGAGCGAACTTCTCAAAGTTGATCGGTAAAGAGGAGGCGGAGAAGACTTGGAGCGTTGAGAACACGATAGGAAGCAAGAAGTGGGTTGACAAGAGATTTCTTTAGAGGGAGTTGTTTATATATATATATATAGTGCGGTAATGTGATATGTGTAAATATGTACTTACGGGTCACGTTGTATCACTCGGAGAATCCAAGCTAGAACAAATGCCGGGTTTCTATAATCAGTTAATAAAAACGTGCATGACTACAATGGCCATAAAAACACCAAGATAACTTTGATCTAGTTAATATTTCCGCTCCATTTTCTTCGTGAGCAACTTGGCGGTGTCCTCGTAGGTAAGACTCGAAGTGCTTAAGCCGGGTGCAACCTCTCTCAGACCCAAAACGAAGGTCTCCAACTGTCAACTCACTCTCTCCAGCCAGCGCGGCCCTCAGTGAATGCCCGCCCGGGTCCAAGGGGGGTGGGCAATGCCCGCAGAGACCGTACTCGCCAAGGGCGGGAGCGGAGGATGAGATCGGGCCGTTGTCATCAATTTATCGCGGCTCGAACAGAACACCAAGCGTCTACATACGTGCACAACCGCCATGTCCAGTCTGGGTGTCGTGTCGTGTCGTTTAAGAAGCCACCACTCAAGACACAATCCGCGCGTGTCGTCGTTAGCAAACATATGATCATATGAGCTATCACGGTTACCCATTCGCATAACCTCCTCCAGAAGACAATTACACTGCCTGTCATCCTAAGTCAGCATAACCCACTCGCTATCCACCAAGCCTTGGTCAAAGGCCCCAGACCTCCCCGATGGAGAAGCCATCCGTTCCGCCACCTCACTGAAGTCTTGACCGTTCTTCTGTAAGGTTACTCCACCCCGAACACCTCATCCGAAGATCCCAAGATGCTCTAGGCACCCTGCTCTCGCCACTCCACCTCCCTTCCTCCCCCGCAAAAGCTTACTCGCTTCTCTACACAGCACCTTAACCCCCACCGCCCGCCTGCCATCACGCGGCATTCTCCGGCCAAGGCACCAACCCCCCCTTCTGGGGCCCTGGTCTCGGTCTTCTCTTCTCGAATGCCCCGAACGGCCCGCTCGGGAAAAGCTGGAGGTCTATGGCAATAGCTGATGTGGGTAGAGTTGTAGAGTACATGTACCTTAGTAGAGTATCTCACTCACTATACCGAGCTCCCCTTTAATTTCAGGCCTCATCAAACTCTACAGTAGAGCGCATACGTGTAGGTACACACGTACTTCTGTGCCTTGCCATGCTTGCCATGAGAGTGCACTCTAATGTGCGTGCATGCATGCACATACCTACACTCAGTAAAGTAAGAGTACAACAAGCATTTTAATTTACCTATTCAGCTGAAATCCTCTGCTCGCTTACAGACCCATCACTTAATTCTCCCCCCAGGCCCCACCCTCAATATAACACCTGCAGGGGTAAAAAAGTGCAGCCAGGTGGGGGTTCATTAATCAAATTATCGAACCCATGCGACATGTGAAATGTCAAGCTTTGCAATAAAGTGAAGTGATGTGCTTGAGCCCCCCGACAACCCGTTGCCAAGTCTCGAGTGATAGACCGTGCGTGAGCGAGGCGTAGTACATGCAAGACAGGAGGAAGGTTTTCACGAGGCAGGAATGGGGAGATCGGGGGATGGCGATGGCGTAAACAGAGACGTCCTGTTGTGTCGGGGCGCTAGACGAAAAACTACAATTGTATCCGGCCCGTACTTACGCGCGGGCGGGATATTCCAGACCGGATTTGCTAATATCAGATATACGCGGTCGTGATGTGCAATACGCATTACTTCATTAATTGGTAATACGCACATCATATCATACATGTATGTATAAACCATTACCGTGCGCCGCAGGAGCTGGATCAACCAGTGGTGTAGCGTTCTTTTTCTTTTTTTCTTTTTTCTAGATTATGCCGTGGAATGCTATGCTCTAAGTTGGCTGGCCGTTATCGCGGCTTTGTCAAATTGCATCTCACCGTGAGATGTTGTATGACTGGTACGGTATTCATCTACGAATATTATAATAATTAGAGAGGTTTTGCAGACGGAGTGCGTACTACATATATCTACCGCGATGTGAATCATGGCATGCGCGCAGAATCCGAAATTTTGAAGCCTTTGCAAGATGGTTTAATTTGTACTCCCACTTTACTTTCTCGCACGAGCACGCACATTACGCCTGTATTTGGTGGTTTTTTCCAGTTATTTTGCTTTTTTACTTGGCCAGTACGTGCGCGAGCTTGTAGGTCCAGACTATATAAACTTCTTCGCTATATATGAAACATCGTGCAACTTTTGATACGTACAGATTTCATGTCTCGCATTACTTAAGTTTGGAGTCCGAACACCTGCTGTTGTTACGTACACTGCTTGTAAAATCTGTCTAATGGATGGTACTACTGACGTGTACTTACATATAAATAACCATATGTTTATCAAATTGAGTATATATCGGGACAATCACAATGCGAGTATGAAGCTCAGACATCCACGAAGTCCCCGTATCTCCCCACCGCAATGACATCCGGATCAAGACCCACCGGTCTACGTATATGACGATCAATCAACTGTATACTACTCATTTTAACAAGCTAACTCAATTGTATCCCTGCTTGTTTGTAAGCTAGCGCTCATATATGGCAGTACAATGGAGAGTTTAAGCTCACCTCTTTTTTTTTTGTTAAGAAAAAATACCAAGAAAAAAATACCAAGAAAATATGCAGCCAAGCGACTTGTAAAGGAAACGCCGAAGCTAGATCCTGTTGATCCTATAACCTCGCCGGCTTAAGTACGCATATCTTCTTCGTATTTTTTCTTGGTATTTTTTCTTAACAAAAAAAAAGAGGTGAGCTTAAACGCTCTAGTACGATAATGTATCCATCAATCTATCTGACTAGCTGGTATATGCGCAAGTCTACATATATTTTAGAAAATGTTAGAAGTCACAGTCACAAGGAGAGAGATCAGTAGAACCTTTAGGGCCCGTTTGGCTGCCTGTCGAAACGGAGTTATAGGAGACAGAGTTGTGTGGCAACCACATACTTGTAACTCCATTTCATTTTCTTCGAAGCTCCATTTTGTAAAAACAGTTTGTGTTCGGACAGCCAATTTTGTAACTCCGTTAGGGTGTTCAAGTAGTGATGATGGGCACAAGACAAAAAGTCTCGAGACTTTTTCGAAACTTACGAGTGATCGTCTATGATCTCATATTGGCTTTAAAATCTAGTTTTCCCCAAAAAACATTCCGTGTAAAAAAAGTGTCTTTGTGAGGTAAGGGCCCGTCTGGCTGCTTTGGCGTTTCAAAACTCCGAGCATAAACAGAGATTTTTCAAAACGGAGTTTAGGTTTGCCAAACAGCAGTAATGATGTTAGTTGTCAGCATGAATTTGGTGAAAAGTAGGATCTACTTTTCAGTTTCGGCCTTACAACAGCCAAAATTCCACTACAAAATGGCACCCCCGAACATAAAAGATTTCGTGAAAATGGAGTTATTCCAAAAAAATCCGTTCAACGCAAATTTTCCCACCAAAACTCCGTTCTAACCAAACGGGCCCTAAACTGGTGCGGAGGCTCGGCCGGGTGACCCTAACCCTAAGTCTCGAGACCTTGCACGATACATCCATAGCTTAAGCTTAAGTATTGCCAATTCCGAGGCCACCTCCTATAATCCACGAGAAAAGACGAAACGTACTCGTGCCCATCACTAAGGTGTTGGAACAGGTTTTTGAAAAGTAGGGGGTACCTTATGTGCTTTTCAGCTCCGTTTCGCTGTTGCAGCCATTGCAACTGCAACCCAAAAAATCAACGTTAACAACCAGGTGTTTGGCAGCCCAAAGATACCCAAACTCCGTTTTGAAAAGCTCTGTTTACTCTCGCCTAACGGAGCAGTTATTAAATGGAGTTTCAATATCTCCAGAACAGCCAAACGGACCCTTAGTAGTTAGTTAGAGAAAGTACATTACTATAGGACACTGGAGGCAGATGGGGTCGGAGGTTTGGATCTTGAGGTATATATATATATAGCCGGTAGGCCCCTAGGTGGTGGTGGTGGTGATTGAGAAAGCATGCAGTAATTATAAAAATACCTTTAGCAGGACACTAGGACTTGGGCGTTTAATTATCGCTATTATGAAGTTGGGGGTCTCTATCTAAGAGTACATGTAACTCCCCTCTTCCACAATGATAACCACGTCTCTCACATGCCACTAAGGCGAGCTTTAACGTTTTGTCTAGTACGCATGCGCAGCTAGCTAGGTATTGTGATAACACTCAACACACCTCACCACCACCACCGAGCGATATCCGATGATCCATCGAGCACAATCTCTCAACGACTCCCCCCATTGCAGCCAAGGCCAGCCTTAACTTCGAGCAAGTGTAGGTACAAATCACAGGACCGGCCAATGCAACACCAAGTCTCACTCGACGCCAGAAAGCTCTTCATCAGTCATTACTATTCACACCACCACCACCACAAACACCACCGCCACTATCAACCGCCGGACTAGCCACAGATAATACATAGAACAAGTGATGGTATCAAGCTATTGACAAACTATGATTATATACTAAGCATGAAAGAAAAAAATAACTCCTACAGGAGCCCGCCTCCCTTGTTTGCTGACGGTTACACCTCATCTCTCCCCCATCCTCCTCTCCTCTTCGCACGCTGCTATGTTTTTCCAGTGGTACGGATACGCAGCCTGCATAGCTTGTTGTTTTGTTTTTTGATAATGAGGTTGTTGGCTGGCAAGACAGCATTACTAACGCGCCAGGTACATTGATAAGGAAAAGATAAACGATAGAGTAGCTGGGTATTAAGGAAAAAGCAATAGACCCAAATTAGGAAGGTAAAAAAAAACAGACGCTTGATACAACGAGAAAAGGTGGGAAATAGAAACAGAACCAGCCCGATTAATAAACCGGTCCTGGGTGCCAGTCCGGTGGCATCTCGCCCTCGATCCATACGACCTTGCTCTTCTCATCAATAATCGCACCTTCGTCAGAGATATCGACAACACTTCCTGTGTGTGCCGCCTCCTGCCGTGAAACACCACCCTCGTCTCTGGGGATCCAAATGGCTTGTGGCCTTGCCACGATAGCTGGGTTCATGTATGCTTCCTGCTCCTCATTGGCGGTGTAAGAAGCCTCAGGGAAATCTTGAGGGATGAGCTTGCGCATTACAGCGTAGTTCTCGTATGTCTCGGGGTGAAAGAATTTGGCAATCATGCCACCGCTCGCAGCTGGCGCAACACCCTCAAGAGGAGGGTGAACAGTCTTCTTGACGTTGTCACCATCCGCCTTAGATGCAACCGGAGTCACATCCTCTTCTTCGACTCCGATATTATCGCCGTTCTCAATGGAAAGGAGAGACTCCTCCTCACGTTCGAGGTTCTTAGGGAGGAAGCGGAGGAGAGGCTCCATGGCTGATGAAAGAGACAACTGGAAGAGAATTGTGAAAATGAGGAAGGCTACCTGGAGGACTGCAGGACCGGGGGATTCGCTAACACCAAAGAGACCAATCAAACAAATCTGCGCAAGATAGACACCAGTAAGAGTCTGGTACAGCGCACGTGGATACACAAGGCCCTTGGTGTCAATATTGACATTGTACACAAAGAGCAAGTTGTACCTGTATGCGTAGTGTAGAAGACCAAGACCAACCACAGCGAACCCAAGGACGAGGGGCGCAATCATGGAATACGTGATGGCAATGACAGCGATATTGGTGTAAATTGGGAAAACAGTGCCCCACCCAAGACCCGACAGAGAAGACCAACGGTTCCATTGCTTGCG